TCACTAGACTCACTGGACTTGTAGTGACTCTCCTGTTTTCAGCTTCCCAAGCACTGGGATTACAGGCGTGCACCACCCTGCCCAGTCTCAACAGCTGTTTCAGCGCACCCCGGGGGCATGGCACTGGCTGAGTGCTCTGCCTAAGCAGGTGCTTTAGTCAGCTGAGCTATCTGGCCAGCCTATATATATTTTTATTAGTGTATGTTTGCGATACCACAGTGGTGTTCATTTTGGGGAAATGCATGTCTAAAACATGGCTTAATGAGTTTTGATCCCTTACATCTCTCCCTTCCCTGTCTCTAAAAATCTGCCTTCATGTTTCCTACCACCTCTCCTTTTTTTAATTTTGATTTTTTTTTTTTTGGCAGAACTGGGGATTGAACTCAGGTCCTTGCTCTTGCCAGGGAAGCGCTTATTCCACTGAGCCATCTCCCCGGCCCTGATTTTTGTTTTTGAGACACAGTCCTGCTATACAGTTCAGGCTGGCCTTGAACTCACTATGTAGCCCACATTGGCCTTGAACTCAGTTGTCCTCCTGCCTCACCTTCCTGAGTGCTGGGATTACAGGTGTGAGCCACCACACCTGGCTCTATTTCACCTTTATTTTTGCTCATTTGTTCATTTATTCATTCTTTCTAGGGTTTTCATTTAACAGAAACCAAGCAATACCTGCATTTAACTTTGTGTATCTGACTTATTGGCATCAGCATTATAGTTTCAGGTTCCATCCATTTTGCCACAAATGATATGGTTTCCCACTTCGTTACAGAAAAACATTCCAATGTGTATTGCCTTTTTCATCTTTTTTTAAAAAGTATTTATTGTTATGGTTTAAAAAAAAATAATTTGTGTGTGTGTGTGTGGCCAGCTCAGCCCACCAGGGGGCAGGGCTGGCTGGCATGTGGTGCTGGGGGATTGAACTGCGGTTCCTGTGCTTTGCTAAGCTTGTTCTAAGTAGGTGCTTTAGACCACTGAGCCATCTCACCAGCCCCACCTTTTTCATCTTTAAAAGTGGAAATAACTACTAACTCAAGAGAGTTAACTGAATGGATGTATGAAATGTGTTCTGCACAGTATGGAATGGCATAATACATATTCAATAAATATTATGAAAGTATTACCTATAGAACCACTACCAGTACCACTGATATCTCATGAGAAAGAATATGGATCTGTTGAGGCAGGTCCAAATAGCACAATTAAACTAGTGAGCAGATAATATCAAAAAGCTGCTTTAGGTTCTAAACAAGAATATATACTACTCATAAAGAACAGTATAGTGAATACACAGCCCTTCACTGATGTTCATCTGTCAATTCTTGTTACACGTGTTACTGTTTTTGATGAACCGTTTCAAAGTTAGCTGCAGGCCAAATATGGCTTCATCTCTCAACACTTCAGCACAGGGACACCTCCCCAAATTTTTTTCATGACATTAAATGTTTAAAAGTCCAGCCCTGTTGTCTCAGATGTCCCTCATTCTGGGTTGGTCTGTCTGCTCACAACTGAATTCCATGCAGATGCCTCTCCAGCGGGAGTATCAGCAGGGAGACACAGCATAGTGTGTGAGTATTCATTTAAGGCGGTAACAAACATTAAGTTCAAGGCCCATTTCTCTCTCTCCTTTTTTCTTTTTTGTATTTTAGGGATGGGTCTACAGGGTGTTCAGGGTCTTGCTACTAGATCAGACTCGTAATAATCTGCCTGTTTACAGCCTCCCAAGAGCTGGGATTACAGGCCCAGGCCACCAAGCCCAGTTTCAATTGCCATCTCAGCATGCCCCAGGGGTGGGGAGTGCATGGCCCATCTCTCTCTTTGTACTCAGAAAACAGATGATTGGAGCTGGGGAGATAGCTCAGTAGAAAAAGCGCTTGCCTGGCAAGGGCAAGGGCCTGAGTTCAATCCCCGGTTCTGTCAAAAAAAAAAACCCCAAAACTGAACAAAACAAAACAAAAAAACCCAACCAGATGACATTTCAGAATATCCTAATTTTCAACAACCCTTTTTTTTTGAGACAGGGTCTTACTATGTAGTTCAGAATGGCCTCAAACTCATGGTGATCCTCCTGCTTCAGCCTCCTGAGTGTTGAGGTGTGCACCATCACCATGCCCAGCTTCAACAACCTTTTGACTGAAGATTTGTGGCACTTACTGATTATCCTTCCTTGAATCAATGATTATACTGAGATCTGCTAAACAATTATTCTTCCTACCATATAAAGAACTTTTTCTTTCAGTGTTACCAAGATACTAGGGATATTTTAGGGCCAGGGATATAGCTCAGCAGCATAGCACCTGCCTGGCAACTCCAAGATCTGGAGTTTGATTCCTGGTACCACAGCGCCCCCACAAAAACAAACAAACAACAACAAGGAAAAACCACTTAAGAAATTATGGGCTGGGGAGATAGCTCAGCAGTATAAGCACCTACTGGGCAAGTGCAAGGACCCAAGTACAATCCCCAGTACCGCATGCCTTCCTTGCCAGCCCCCAAATCCTAGGCACACTAGCCAGAAACCAGGCATGGTGGCACAAGCACTGTAGTCCCAGCACTGGGGAGGTTGAGACAGGCGGATCACTGAGTCCAAGCTGCATAGTGAGACCATGTATCCTATAAATATATTAAAAGAAATTACAATTTTATTTTATTTATTTATTTATTTATTTATTTTATTTATTTTTTTTTTTTTGAGGAACCAGGGATTAAACTCAGACCCTTGTGCTCGCCAGGGAAGCACTTTTTCTACTGAGCCATCTCCCCAGCCCTGAGAAATTACAATTTTTAAAAATTGTATATTATAGTTCATTGCTTGGTTGCTTTTTTCCCTTAAGATGGGCTCTTACTATGTGGCCTCAAACTCTTCTTGGGACCAAAGGATCCTCGTCAGCCAGCCTTGAACGTGTCATGCTTCCGGCTGCTTCAGGACCACGGCAACAGCAGCTGCTGTACCTGGGCTGCTCCTGTCTCGTGTTCTGCAAGGGATTCCTCCTGTTATCCAGTAGAGGATCTGCCACCTCCCCGATAGATCCTCCCCATGAACCTACCTAAAGAAACTCTTTTTGTCTTGTTGCTGCTTGTTCTACTAATTCAAAATTTTATATCTTCAACTACGAATTACTTCAAATGTACACAGAGGGGTGGAAAACAGCTGAACAGATACCCAAATATACTTAGGTGGGACAGAGGTTAACATTTTGCCATATTCACTGCAGTTTTTTCCTGAAACATTACAAATAAAACTAAAACTCTACTCCTGTAAGAATTTCTCAAAATGGTATGACATTTGTATGTGTCTTCTTTTGAAATTTGCTCTTTTCATTCAATATATTTTTTGAAAAACACTACTGCCAAACTTATTACCCAATTTATTCTTGTTTGTCATTACAAATAGTCATCAAGAAGGAATGGTACCATACACCTATAATCCTGGCTACTGAGGAGGCTAAATATTTGAGGCCACCCTGGGAAGAACCTGTTTCAAAATAAAGAAAGAAAAGAGGTTGGGGACAGAGTGCAGTGGTGAAGGATTCATGGGTTAGACCCCCAGTGATGTCAATTAAAAAAATAAGAAAAAAAAAAACTCTAAGAGTTCTAAGAGCAACAGGTGAAACAAAAAGGATTGTACATGCATGTTGTGTTTGCAGGGAGGAGCTGCTTATAGAAACTAGTAAAAGAATGAAATTATAAAAGTACTGTAGGGGCTGGAGAGATGGCTCAGTGGTCTAAAGCACCTACTTAGAACAAGCTTAGCAAAGCATCAGGGACCGCGGTTCGATCCCCCAGCACCACATGCCAGCCGGCCCCGCCCCCTGGTGGGCTGAGCTGGCCACACACACACACACACACCACACACACTCTCTCTCTCTCTCTCTCTCTCTCTAATAAATAAATAAATAAATAAAATTTAAAAAAAAATAAAAGTACTGTAATCCCAGCACTGAGGAGGCTAAGGCAGGAGGACTGCCCCAAGTTTAAGGTCAGCCTGGGGTACACAGTGAGTTCAAGGCCAGCCTTGAACTATACAGCAAAACCCTGTCTCAAAAGAAATTATAGAAGTACTGTAAAGCACAAACACAATATTGAGGTATATTTATGACTAAAACACTAGTTGTGAATCTTTACTACAAACTATTCAAATATATCCTAAAATAAAACTTTGTATTTATTTATTTGGGGTTTTTTTTATTTTTTTATTTTTATTTGAGAGAGAGAGAGAGAGAGAGAGAGAGAGAGAGAGAGAGAGAGAGGGAGGTGTGTGTGTGTGGCCAGCTCAGCCCACCAGGGGGCGGGGCTGGCTGGCATGTGGTGCTGGGGGATTGAACCGTGGTCCCTGATGCCTTGCCAAGCTTGTTCTAAGTAGGTGCTTTAGACCACTGAGCCATCTCTCCAGCCCCTATTTGGGGTTTTTTGAGACAAGAGTCTCACTATGCAGCTCATGCTGGCTTTGCCCTCACTGTGCAACCCAGGCTGCCCTCGCACTCACTGCAGTGCTCCGGCCTCAGCCGCCCCAGTGCTGGGATTACAGTAAGCACATGCCACTGTGCCCAGCAAGGAACAGTTCTTCACTGTAACTTCATACTCATCTCTGCATATTGATCTTTTTATCAGATGGATAAAAACCTAGAAAGTTTAATATGATGTTTGAGTTGATGTTACCTTACGGGTCTAGGACACACCGTGCCACACCCACGCGGGGCAGCACTCTCCACATGGAAACTGTCTCCTACAAAGCTTCAGTTCAAGGGATTCTGGAGCTGAAAGGCAAGGCAGGCAGAGCAGGCCCTGGATGGAACACTGCAGCGCACGCTCTGAAATTAGCATGGGGGGCCTGGCCCTAGCTCAGTTCTTTAAGTGGCTGCTTCCACAATGCTGGCAGCCTCAGATTGCTGTAGTTCGATCCCCACAACACTCCAGCCAGCCAAAAGTGCCCTGAAGTGAAGGCATTGGAGGAGAAAAAAAAAAAAAAAAAGAAAGAAATTAGCATGGTACCAGCCAGAGGAGGGCCACATGTGCATGGTTCAAATGGAGCATACTCCACAAAAACAGAACCAACAACAGTATACAATTGACCACTGACTTACAAACTCAGTTTGTTACAAAGGCTGGTTATAACTCCAGTTGGTTGTAAGTCAAGACTGCTTTTCCTATAAGAAATCACGGAAATACCCATATTGCATTCTAAATCTCCCGAAGTCCCCCTTATCTTACCTTTTCATAATAAAAAGGGGGGTTCTATAAGGCGTATAACCAGAAACATCAAAATTTTTCCTAATGTATTCATCAAAGTTATGAAGTGTGCCTCATTTACCAGAAATGATTTCCTACATACTCACCCCATTTGTGGACGTCTTTGGCTTGCAGGAATGGGGGTTGGCATGCACGGTGGCTACTGTTTGGGAGGAGAGCCCCCTTCCGCAAGAACATCAGAAGTCTGGCTCTCTGGTGTCCTTCCTCTCCTTGGGAGACTCTGTAGCCCACTAGGACCTGCTTCTGGCCCACTAGGTCTCAACCTTTTCAGAACTAAAAGCTGGTCTAAGGCTGTCTGCTTCTGTCTTTTCTTTAACACTGTTCTGTAGTATGACATGATACTGTCATTAAGCAAGTGAATGCAATGACTGGCTTTTTCTCTGTCTGGGTGGGTCTTCTCCACAAATGTTTGTAGCTCTGTCCATTTTTTCAGCATTTCCTTTATTTCAGAAGAAGAACTCTGCTGCACTGATTTGTGACACTTCCCTTCCTCTTCAGAAAGCTCCTTAGCAGCTGTCGTTCTCGGTTGCTCAGCCAGAAGTTGCTGACGTGCCTCTGCAGATGATTCTACGGAGCGTTCCTCCACCAGTTCCTCAACATCACCACTGCCTAGCTGCAAGCCTATGTAAGTTCCCCTGGGCGTTTCCTTCCAGAAAAGACCAGGTTCATCACAGTTGAAAACCTGATGAGAGCAAAATCCATTCCTCTGGGTCATCTTTTCAAAGTGGTGCATGTAAGTCTCAGCAGCCCTTTTATCAGCACTAGGTGCTTCAGCGTACTTACTTACACTATGAACCCCAGTTCTTGCTTTAAAATTATGAAACCATCCCTTACTAGCACGAAATATTTTGCCATTATCACTTGATGGATTATGCTTTACAAGATCTGCATTTATTGCCCTAGCTTTTTCACAAATTACAGATTCAGACAGGTTGTAACCGGCCGCCTGCCTTTCGTTTATCCACACTAATAACAGCCTTTCCACCTCATCTAACGCTGTGGGTCGAGATTTACTAATCTGAGTAACACCTTTAGCAACACTAGCTTCCTTATACAGATCTTTTCTCTGTAAGATTGTTGAGATGGTGGATTTTGACATGCTGTACATATTAGCAAGATCAGTGACACGAATACCACTCTCATATTTCTGCACAATTTCCTTCTTCTTTTCAATTGTGATTGCTTTTTTAACTTTCCCTTCCTTTCTTAGCTTCTTTTCTAGCTTTTTGGGGGCCATTCTGATAACAGTAATTGTAGCAGTTGTATAAAGCACCAACTAAAATCACATCCACAGACATGTACATCTGGGCTCAGAGGCACGCTTACGGATGCTTTTCTGGCATTGCAAGTCTTTGTTTACAACCAAATAAGCAGCCTGATTTCAGGTAGTAACTCAAGTCTTTAGTCTTAAGTTAAACAAAACCAGTTTTATCCAGTCGTAACTCGAGGGTCCACTGTACTTCAAAAGGAAGAGGAGGAGGAGGAGGAGGAAGGAGGCTGGAGGAAAGGAAGATAAGAAAGAATGACATTGGAAACTACGCATATCCCCATAATACGTCAAAGCCATAGAGCTGATGTTCACTCAGAGATCCAAAGACAATTCAGTCATTGGGGGTGGGGTGTCCTTTAATCCATGCTTTTACACACTAACATGCAAATGAGTCAGAAGTATATCATTTTAAGACTGTAATGCTTAATTTGATACACTAATGCAGCGAGTCATTCCAGGATGAATACTCTTCTAGGTAGAGACCCCATCAGTTTTCTTTGCACTTCCCAGGCCTTAGGAGAAGCCATCAGATGTTGTTTCTCTTTAGTCCACATTTTCCCAGGATGACTTCATTCACACTTATTTTTTCAAAGGTACTCATCGAAAATGATTCTCTACAACCCACACATTTCCAACTGCTTACTGACTACTGTATTTCTCTTTGGATGTATTCCCTCCTTTCTCAGAATCCTTTAGATAAAAAAAAATGATAATCGCTTACATGTCTCAATTTTCTCCATTTTTGCCAATGGTCTTGGCATCATAATGAAACTCTGACCTGCCTAGTTGCCCAAAGCAGAAGCCCTTGTAAGTATCTAATCCTCCAACTCACTTCAGTCATTCAATCTCCAAATCCTACTTTTGGGCTGTATGCTGCTTAAAGAAGCAGTAGACCCTTGAGTTACAACCAGAATTTTAGGTTTAACTTATGACCAAAGTCTTGAGTTATGGAGTTATGACCTGATGCAGGCCACTTGCACAGCTGTAAACAGAGACTCACGGGGCCAGAAAACACACGCGTCAGTCTGAGCTCACATGTATGCATTTGTGGGTGCAATTTCAGTCAGTGCTTTATGTAACTGCTACGACTGTTTCTATCAAAATGGCCCCAAAAATCTGGTAAAGAGGCTAAGAAAGCAAGAGAAGATAAAAGGAAATCATAATCGCAAAGAACAGCATTAAAGAAAAGACAGAAGCAGACAGCCTTAGACCAGCTTTTAGTTCTAATAAGACTGAGACCTAGTGGACCAGAAGCAGGTCCTGGGGCCTGCAGGACAGCTCAGTTGTTTAAGTGCTTGTTCATGCAAAAGCAGTCAGGCGCAGGATACTGCAGTTTGATCCCTACCTCCACATGCCTTACCAGACCCGCCCTTGAGGTAGCCAGAGTGTGTGGGGGGGAATCCTTCTCAACTTTTAGGGCCAAATAGCTCAGTGGATTAAAGCGTCACAGAGGCTGGGGATTTAATCCCTGGGCCTGCCATGCCAGCCCCGCCCTCGGGGTGCACTGAGACAGCAATTGGGTGCTGTGTGCCTATAATCCCAGCTCCTAGGAGGTTGTAAGCAGGCAGATCACTATGAGTCTGATCTAGTAGTGAGACCCTGAACACCACAGCCTGTAGACCTTTCCCTGAAATACCAAAAAAAAAAAAAAAAGAAAGAAAGAAAAAAAGAAGCAGGTCCTAGTGGGCTACAGACTCCCAAGGAGAGCAAGGATAACAAAGAGCCAGATTCCTGATGTTCTTACAGAAGGGGGCTCTCCTCCCAAACAGTAATCACCCTATATGCCATCCCCTCTTCCTGCAAGCCAAAGACATCTACATGCAGGATGAGTACTGTGGAAATCGTTTCTGGTAAACAAGGCACACTACACATTTTATAACGTTTTGGTGAATACATTAGGAAAAATTTTGGTGTTTCTGGTTACAAACCTTATAGAACTTGTTTTTGTAATGAAAAGGTGGGCTGGGGAGATGGTTCAGTAGAATAAATGCTTGCCTGCCAAGCACAAAGGCCTGAGTTCAATACCGGGTCCGCAAAAAAAAAAAAAAAGATGTAATGAAAAGGTAAGGCAAGGGCCGGGGAGATGGCTCAGTGGAATAAGCGCTTCCCTGGCAAGCGCAAGGGCCTGAGTTCAATCCCTGGTTCCGAAAAAAAAAAGAAAAGGTAAGGCAAGGGGTGCTTTGGGAGACTTGGAATGCAGTATGGGTGTTTCCATGATTTCTTATAGGAAAAGCAGTCTTGACTTACAACCAACTGGAGTTATAACCAGCCATTGTAACAAATTGAGTTAGCTGAAGGTTCATTGCATTAGATTAAATCTATTTCTGTAAATCAAATGATACTGATAATTTCATATGGTTCAAAAACATGGAATTTTTTTATATTAATCATAATCTTAATTTTGTTTGTTAGATGCATAAATATGCATTCTAGATTATTACAGTGCTAGCTTAGGAAGCCAGCCTTCTATTAATGGGAGTCCGTATTATCCACATGCTTACTAGACACACCCATATGCACACAGAGAAGGACAGTAGAGAATACAGCACTAAAGCAAAAAGTAGAAATGAGAAAGAAAGGAAAATAAAGCGCAGTAGAGAAAAGAGAAAAGGACAGAGAAAGGAAGCGCTTACTGCTGCTACGTCTTGCACCATAGAAAAGTTAAACCTTGTCATCCTCATCTTTGTCAAAACTCAGAAGAGACCGTGAAGGTAGCTTGCGAGAAGCACTCAGAGGCTGGGAATCGAACACAAGCAAGCTTTATTAGCCAGGTGACAGTGATCAGCAGAAGCCAAAGCACAGACCCCAGAGGCTTTGCTCTCAGAGGTTTTTATATATTAACAACTTCCTCCGTTACCATAGTGACATTACTTCTTTTTGGAATTTTGCAAGAATGTCACAGGGTTTACATTTTGCCATGGGCTTGTTAGTCAAACAGATTCCAGTTAAAGTTCAGCTTACCCCACAGTTTGATCTCATTGTTGCTCCTTTAGTTAAGGACTTGCTCTTCCTTTGTGGGTTTTATGGTTAAAAAGTGAGGAGTAAATTCATGCAGAGTTTAAGGGACTCCTAAGATGGAGGCCAGAAACAAAATGGCATCACTTTAGCCATGTCAAGACAAGAGGTGAGGTCCAGACAAAGGAAATGGTATTAAGGTCAAAAGCTCCCATATTAAGGTCAAAAGCTGTGGTGGTAATGCTTCACTAAAAACAATTTTTCTTCA